GGCTGCTCTAGGGTTATGCGGGGGAAAACGACGCGGAGCGGGCACTATTTATGGCGGGGGAAGTGACGTGGGGAACACGATAACCGGCGTCACAGGGCGAAGGTGGAGTCCTGCGGCGGCGGAGTCCTCTTCGGGTACGCGAGGTAGAGGACGGCGCGAGGTAGGAGACGACCGACAGGTGGGTCCCACCGGTCAGCGACTGCGCGCGATGAGGAGGCGGGGCGCGTCCGCGCGGTGCTGGGCCGTGATGGCGCACTGGGCCACGGGTGAAGGGAAGGAGGAGAGAGCATTGGGCCGGCTGACAGGGTGGGCTCGCTGGAAAGGGAGCAGGCCGTGGGAGAGGAGAGATAGTGAGAGAGAGATCTGCTGGGCTGCTGGGCCAGATTGAGAGGTGAGAGGTTTTCCATTTTTCTATTTTAAAACCAATTTCAAATATATACCAAATCGAATTTGAATATGGTTTCAAATACACTTTTCAATTCAAATAAAAATGAGCAATTTTGGTAAATTTTCCAAAAATAAATTTTACAACTTTTTAAATTATTTTATTTTCTAATTTTCTTTTCTTTTATTTCAAATCCATTTTCAAATTCATTTTCAAAAGCATTTTGAATTTTTTTGAATTTTGGATTCAACCACTCATTGCAATAAATCAAATGCACCGGCATGTATGCACATCCATGTTGCTACTCCTTATGATGAATTTTAATTTAATAAAAAATATTCTTTTTCTTATATTTCATGTGCACAAAAATTCATAAATTAATCATTGTAAACCTATTTTCAAAATTGAAATTTTTAAGGTGTTACACAAGGAAAATACTCGACCCATAGAACAAATCAAACATCAGAAAAAGGGGATCGACTACAGGAATATGAAGAACACAGGTACAACAAGGAAGAATGGGGGACAAATCACAAATCAGAGAGGCTTAATGAACCTCTGTTGAGAGAGCTCCTTTGGCGTTGGGGTTAGGAACAGGGGAGCTTGCCGGTACAATCGTCGGCCCACAACGACGAGAAGAATTCACCTTCTGGCTTTTGCTCAGTCTGCTGGAAATGGCATGCGGACCGAGTAAAATACAAAATTAATGGCTGGAATGAGAGCACGAACCATGGACTCTTATAAATATACCACAAGATAATATATTTTTGGGTGTACCTGCTCTTTAGTGGAACTATTAGCACATGCATCTGGAATTTTGTGAGGAGGAAGAATAGCCTATATGCACTAGGAATGAAAAGTTTAATAAATTAAATCTGTGGACAAATGAACTACTTGCACAGAAGAAATATCGTAAATGTCTCTGAAATTACCTGCAACCATCTTCACATACTGCATGTTATAAAAAGCACCAAACTGAAGTGTTGCAACTTGCAAGGTAGCTACATATATCAGAAAGAATTCAACAACAGCTTGATCCGTAAAAAACATACCAATGCAGAAGCGTGAGGCTTATTACTAGTGTAACATATCATCATTCCCAAACACTGGGCAAAAAGAAATTATTTTCCCATACACCAATTAAAATCAATCAATTATAGGTGTCATTTACCTCTGTTAGACATTGAAGTGTAAGATTCTGATAAGTAGCCATAGGAAAGAACTTCAGTAACGTCTCCCGCTAAATAAAAAATAAGAAAAAAGGGGTAAGGCCCAGCATTTCCATTGGCACACCACACATTCAGTCACTCACAAAGTTCAGCTATCATCAACATACCATAAGGGTTGTGGAACCTACATACACCATAAGGGCTCCAGGCTCCTGCTTCAGTTCTTCCACCACCTACAGAAGTTCAATAATCATGTGCAGTTCCTGATTGCTTGCTGGACCAAGCAATCCTTTCTATGTCTAGAATGTAGGGAGCCAATCATGTAGAATAGATAACAAATTCAAGTCACAAAAGAACAAGCACAGCCGCATCCCCATATCATGATAACAGGATCAAAGCTTTATTAGTAATTAAGTAGTATGTAATAGACAAATCACTGCATGCACAGCCAGACCTACAGACCGAGAACAACTCAGATGACCCTAGCAACAAAAGCAAGCACCATTTGCTGACCACCACTATGGAGATTACAATTGAAACACTACCAGCTCAATCACTCCACCTTCTTGAACATACTCTAAATCAAATAACCTGACACCTATATATTATTCAAAGATAATGACACACATAAATTCAAGTGCAATAGAATAGAATCATAAGAAGAACAAGAATTTAAGAAAAACATTGGAATGCAAACTTAAAACCGAATAGGCTCCGTCACGAGAAGAAATTAAAGAAACTTTGCACCAAGTTATAACTTTAAGTAAATGCTGATAAGAAAACTTCACGCACCGAGGAACTCACCCAAGAGCACACGCATACTGCACAGCACATGAACAGAGCACATATGAGAGCTCAACTCTAAGCACTACAACAACAACAATTGCTGGCCGAGAACTATATATAATTAACATTGGACTTACATCTCTCTTTTCCTTTTCCACAAAAGAGAAAGCACGCAAGCATTCTAAATTTTGGACAGATTTCTTCGATGTTGAAAATTAAAATTCTATAAAGAACATGTACATCTTAGCACTCATGTAATTAACTTTATTTGCTCTCTTCTTAATTGGAAGGCAGGGCTCCTGCCATTGCATTAAAAAAACATGCAAATCAATTCTTTGCTTGATCAAGATCCCAGTTTGAGCACTGCACATTAACGTATCAGAATGGAAAAATAAGCACAAAAGTTCTAAACTGTATAATTTGGCTAAATTTCTTATTCAGTTCAGTTCACCTTTTTACAGCAAGCAAGCACAACTATGAGTAGTAGCGGTCCCCCCCCCCCCATCTTTATCTGTATAGAGTGAGGGAAGTGCAACAATCAGGCTCCCAAACAAATTGAACATCAGATACAATGAGGAAGGTGGGGATCATAAATCAGATAGACTATATCTGTAACATCAAATTCAATGAGCTATAACTCACAAGCACATCTATTTGAGATACTTCCAGATCATGAGAAGACTTCCAGATCATGAGAAGTATAGTATTTAATTTTCAGAAGAAAAAAACTCACAGGTTGTTATATATCTAGCTTCCTGCAAGAATAACTCGAGCTTCAGACAATCATGTGCTAATTCAGAAGCTTACTTCTGAGAGTACCGTAAAATTCTCACAAGGGGTAGTACTAGTAAGCTAGCTAGCAGACAATCGTGTACTAATAAGCTATCTAGCCAACCATGCATATTCATACAAGCAACTTCAAAATGCAATCTATTTAGCTTCCTGCAAGCCATAAATATTATCGATTGAATAATTGTACAGAGCAGATAATTACACATGGATTTAAAAAGGCTACCTGACCTAGGTGCAGTGTAGTTTATCTTCATGCAGATCTAACAAGACATAATTGAAGACGATGAGGGCTCAATTGAGGCTTGAGTACAGAAACAGAGATATAAAGAGGAATGCTGGAAACTAGTATGAGGCTATACCCAAGTAGTATAGGGTAAAATAAAAAATGCTTCATCAATGACATTGTTGCGGGAGGGGCCGAGCTCAATTTGGCATGATGGCTAGTGGCTACTGCAGCTTAAGCAAATAATGTGCATCAATTGGGATTTACAAGCAAGCAAACCGTGGTGACACTGACATAGACACAAACACACAAGAGAAACGCGATCGCCAGAGAGTTGCCCCGCTGCCTGAAAACAGAGAATCTGATTTCAGATATACCAACAAGGATGCCCATTCCTGGGTTCTATTGGTTGCCCAAACACAAAGAAACAGAAAGGCCAAAAGCAGTGTATATGTCGTCCATCTGTCCTACCAAAAACAACAAGCAGAGTCTGCTGCTGCTGCTGCATCTCATTGGGTTGGAGTTGGGAGTTGCAGAAGAGGAGGAGAGTTCAAATCAATCAGTAATTGGTGGATGCAGCTAACAAATAGCAGGTTCCTATTCTAGGTTAAGCACTGTCATTGTTTCAGACATCCCAGAGCACAAGGTGCGGCTCACAAAGCCCGACATGTCAGCGGTGAAGCAGGTACAGGAGGTCGTTGCCTACCTCTCGGCGTGGCTGGAAGCCACGCTAGACACCGACGTGCCGTCGCTAGACCTCAGGGAACAAATGAGGAACAAAGATCTACACAACAACAGCTAAATAGAGCAACAAACTTCATATCAAGGGAGCAAAGCGGCGAATGCAGGTACCTCCAGACCTCTAGCAATGGCAGACGAGGAGCGAGCAACCGATTCGGTGAGAGGGAGGCCACGCATAGAGACGGGGCAGGGCGGGCGGCGAGGTCGCCTCTCGAATCGCCGCGACGCCGACACAAACAAGGGGAGCAAGCGCCGAACACACAAGTACCTCCTGAACTCTGGCAATGGCAGACGACACCGAGCAACCGAATCGGTGAGGCGGAGGCGACGCGCAGAGATGGGGCGCGGCGGAGCGGCGAGGTCGCCTCTCGAATCGCCTCTCTGGGCAGGAGAGCATCGGAGGGGAGAAGACGATGGGGAAATGAGACAGCTATAAACGGACATGCGCAATTCCCGATTTGAAACAGTAACACTCAGAGTGGGCCCAGCAAATCAGCGTCACAAGGCAAATGGACGCGACTAGACGTCGATTCTTCATCTAGCGGACAAAAAATTCGTGTGTCAACAAAACAAAAAACACATGGGTGGAGTATAGCATTTCTGAAATTTTTCCATTTAGATTGTGGATTCTATGAAACGATGGCTAAACATTTTTTTTCCAGCCTAATAAAGTCTGAAATCGATTTATACGTACTGTGACATTTTAGCAGCGTAATAAAGTCTGAAATCGATTTATATGTACTGTGACATTTTAGCAGCCGAAATCGATTTATACGTACTGTGACATTTTAGCAGCCTAATAAAGTCTGAAATCGATTTATATGTACTGTGACATATTAGCACGGAGCATCGCTTCTTTCAACATTGCGGGAGCTCAAGCCAACAAGCTAGCTAGCTGCTCCCAATGATGGCCGCCGCCGCCGCCAAGCATGTCGTGCTGTTCCCGTTCCCCGGTCAGGGCCACCTCTCCGCGTTCGTATCCGTCGCCGGCCTCCTACACGGCGCTCTCCCCGACGCCGCCATCACCCTCGTCTCCACCCCGCGCAACGTTGCCGCCCTCCGGACTACCGCGTGCTCCAACTCCAACTCGTCGTTCCTCGGCTTCCACGTGCTGCCCTTCACCCCGGCGGACCACGGCCTGCCTCCGGACTGCGAATCATCCGACGCCATACAGCCCATGGCCATCTTCGACCTCATGGAGGCGTTCGAGGCGCTCGAGGCCGCGTTCGACGACTACCTCTCCGCCGCCGTCGCCGCGGCCGGCGGCAGTGGCCGCGACGTCTTCGTCGTCTCCGACCCGTTGACGGCGTGGACGGTGACCGCGTCCCGGCGCCGCGGGTGCGCGCACGCCTTCTTCCCCTCCTGCGGCGCGTACGGTACCGCCGTCCTGCACTCGCTCTGGAGCCACCTGCCCGTCCGGCCCGACCCAGCCACCGGCCGCGTCCACCTGCCCGAGTACCCCGAGGTTATAATCCACCGCTCGCAGGTCACCAAGCACGCATTGGGCCCGCCCGCCGTCATCGACCGCGGCACTAGATTCTTCGGCCGGCAGATCCCTCTCGGCTATGAGACGGACGCGGTGCTCATCAACACCGTGGAGGAGTTCGAGCCCAATGGTCTAGCCATGCTGCGGCGCACCCTCAAGATCCCGGTCTGCCCCATCGGCCCTCTCGTGCGCGCCACCAGCCTACCAGCCTCGCCGGAGGCCGAGGCCGCCGTCGTGAGCTTCCTGGACTGCCACTCGCCGTCGTCGGTGCTGTACATCTCATTCGGCTCCCAGAACTCTATACGAGCAGAGCACATGACGGAGCTGGCATTGGCCTTAGAGTCAGCCGGCCGGCTGTTCATCTGGGCTGTCAGGCCGCCGGTCGGACACGACATCAAGGGCGACTTCCGGGCCGACCAGTGGCTGCCGGACGGGTTCGAGGAGAGGGCGCGCACGAGCAACAGAGGACTCCTGGTACGCGGGTGGGCACCGCAGGTGAGGATCCTGGCGCACGCCTCGACGGGCGCCTTCCTGAGCCACTGCGGGTGGAACTCGGTGTTGGAGAGTGTGACGCACGGCGTGCCGATCATAGGCTGGCCGCTCTCCGGCGAGCAGTTCTACAACGCCAATATGCTTAAAGAGGAGTGGGGTGTGTGCGTGGAAGTGGCGAGGGGGAACGTGGAGGACACTGTCGTAAGCAGGGCTGCGCTTTTCGACGTGGTGGAGACGGTGATGGGTCAGACGGCGAAGGCCGCAGAGATGCGGCGGCAGTTGAGGGAGATCAAGGAGGTGATGGAGGTGTCCTGGAAGGAGAGGAGCGGGTCGTCGAGGAAGGCGATGGAGGATTTCTTGCGGGCGATGAATCTCCGGTGAAGTGAACAACTTCGTGTATTGCTCAATCTTTACCTGGAATCTTGTGCGCCATTGCAAATAGTGCTAAATTATGCTCGCCGGCTTCTGCAAATGCCTAAAGACAGATTGATCTAGCTCTGGGGTCTAGGTGTTTACCACTGAATGCCTAAATTATAGGCATCCAAACAAGGTAACGGAATGCCTAAATTATTGTCGGTTGCTGCAACTTGAGCTTCTGTAAAATGTAGATATAAAAGAATGTGTTTTTCCTGCAGAACAATTTACAAACCGCGGCTCTTTGCTGAATTCTACAGTCAGTATATGTGACTGGAAGCAGTGTAGTGTTTGCAATCCCATGTAGTCTTGCAGATACATGCTGATCATGTGTCAGTGTTCTAAACAATAATGATCATATGTTGGTGTTTTTTTAATGCATGTGTTTATGTTGAGCAAGCAGTTTCTATTTGACAGTTATGTTTTGTAACTGCAGCTCAAATCCTGCTCCAGTTGCACGAGTTTTTCTACATGCATCAATTCTTTCACATTGCACAAGTCTCACCAAATTCTTGTCTTAGCTGTAATATTAAGTTTTCTGTACCTATAATTCATATCCTATTTTCGCCGCTAGGATCTCAGATAATTCTAGTTTATCGTCTTAAAAGGGCATAGTGAATGTCATCATGGGTTGCACCATACATGTCCAAACTCAGCAACATCATTTGACTGAGCACATTGTGGTAATGAAAAAGTCTACTTCACCCCCTAATTATTGGCAATTGTCTATTTCACTCCCTCTAACATAGCCTCTCTAACATATCGAAGGTAAGTCAGCAATCAAAGTTTGACTACTTATGGTGTGTTTGGTTTGTGGAGCACCCCATGCTTCATGAGGTGATGCATCATGAGTTCATCCCATGAATTTTAATGGAATCAACTCATTCCTCAAGCCCCTCTAACATATCGAAGGTAAGTCAGCAATCAAAGTTTGACTACATATGGTGTGTTTGGTTTGTGGAGCACCTCATGCTTTATGAGGTGATGCATCATGAGTTCATCCCATGAATTTTGGTGGAATCAACTCATCCTCATGTATTACTAACTATTAGCTTGTGAGGAATGAGGTGGTGATGGATTAACTCATTTCATTCCATAAACCAAATACAAAAAGCGAGGATTGAGAAGATGATGGACTACCTCATTCCTCAAACTAAACACACCCATAGTTCCTCTAACATAACCCCTCTAATGTATCAAAGGTTGACTACGTGGTTCCTTCAACTATAAAACCCAATATTATAGCCCGTAAAGCGGCAAAGAAAGTGGCGCAATATGCATCAAGATTTCCAATCATTCCTGGACTGAACAATGCAAGTTTTTTTTTGAAACTAGGTGTAATTTCATTACTCAACGACTAACAAATCGTTAGCGACAATAACATGAACAAATTCAGGAATGGAGCTAGCAGTTTGCTCCTCACCCTGATTACACAAATGACCCAGCGCAGCCAGCTCATGAGCAGCTCTGTTACACACCCGGCTCTTAAAAGAGCACTCAAAACTAATGAAAAGTGGAGGACACTAAAGACATTATCTCAGTGATGATCAAAACACCTATAGCCGCGTCATCATACTCATTGGTGGTAATCGCCTGAACCATCTTCGCATCAGTCTCAACAATAAGCCGGCCAATCCCCAAATCAACAGCTGACTGAATCCCATGTAGACAAGCAATGAGTTCAGCCTTAAAAGCATTTAGGAGATGATCTATCTTTCCTCTTCCAGAGACAACCACATCCCCTTCACTGTCTCGGACCAAAAATCCCCAGCTGCCTGAGAGTGAGCTTGGCAAGAACGTTGCATCCCAATTAAGTGTTAAGAAACCCCGGGGTGGTTTTCTCCACAGCTCTTTTGGTCGCGGCATACTGTTCCCTGTCATGGTATTGTCGTCCACCACTGCAGTGTTTTCATCAGCATATGACCTGATGCAACGGACAAGGAATTCAGCTCCCCGCCTTCACCCTTCTTCTCTAATCAGATTTCTTTCATTCCAGAGGAACCACATTGCAATGATCATCAGCAACTTTTGGTCTTCATTCGCTTTTAATATAATTTCCACAGCATCTCTGACCAACACAACAATGCAAATTCATGGCACTAACATCATTCCTGGATTGAACAAGTTCATGACATTAGGATATATCCACTTGCGTCCCTAATTGCGATTGCTGACAGTAAGATGAGCTCTAATCAAGTGGGACAGCAGGCTAGAATCTTGAATCACCCTGATTACGATGAAACCAGCAGCACACATACGTGATTCAAAATGTTGTCGGTTGTCACATAACAGAGTGCGACATATATGACAGTATAACACAAACTGAACCGTATTACAGAGAAGACGAGGTCCTTATCATGTCAATCCAGATGAAATTACTGTCTGACATCATAATCCTCTGTATTACTCTGGGTACGAGTAGCGGCAGATGTTGCAATTCCTAATTTCCTAGCCCAAAGGAAATTACCGCTGGTATGGCTTTAGGCAGATAACTCAGGAAACCATCAATAATTCAGCAAAAAGAAGATGATGAGAACGATTTATCTCTGGTGAAACAACTGTGTTTTCTAGACCTGCGAACAAGAGTTACATACATGAGTACAACAACGTTGTCAGGGAATCTATCTAGAGTGGTTGATGAGAACCATGAACCAGTAAGAACTGTAAAGTAATCTGCTGCTCTCCCTCTGTACGCGCGGCAGGGGCAGATGCCGAAAGGGCTCCCCTGCTGCTCCACTGTAGCCACGGCAAGGGCAGGCGCTGAAAGGCTCCCCTGCCGTACTGTAGCCACAGCAAGGGCAGCGCCAAAGTCAGCCCTGTTGTCACATCTAGTCACCGTAGAAGCATGACAGCCTGACATGTCTGTGTACTATGATTAGATGGGTAGAGTCATATATATAGCTTCCCACTGCAACTCAGCGAAGAGAGAGAGTTCAGTTTTGTCATCTCCTCTGCAGAGCTCCAACCAACGCTAGTGCTCGTGCTATGTGTGTGCGCGCGCTCTGTTCTCCCTCCCTCTTCTACCTCCAGCAGAGTGTGTGTGTGTGTGTGAGAACGCCGGTGAGCGGTCGACTCACCCGTGCGGGAGATCCCAGGCCCAACAAGTGGTATCGGAGCCGAGAGGTCTTGCAGTGGTGCCGACCACTCCAAAACTGGTGCCGAGCACTCCTATAGTGGTGCCAACCACTCTAGGAGTGGTGACGAGCGGTCCAGGAGTAGTTCTAAGCACTGCAGCTGGGGTGCCGAGCACTCCAGGTGCTGTGTCGACCACTCCGGCAGAACAGGAGACTCCATCGACGTGATCGAAGTTCGCCTCATCTCCAAGCAACATCACTGAGTTCATGGATGCCTTCCACGACGGTGAGGAGGTGCGGTTCCCAAGCTGGACGACATCGTCGGTGACACAGGGTCCTCAGGACTGGCGGGTCGGCTGCTCAATGACCTAGAGCTGCTTCTCGTCAGTGCAGAGGAACCACCCACGTTCGCACTGGGCGAGCGCGATGCAAATTGGCGACGAACGATGTTGGAGGAGATGAAGGTGAATGAGGAAAACGAGACTTGGGAGCTCGTCGATCCACCTCCAGGATGTCGTCCGATCGGCCTGAAGTGGGTGTACAAGGTCAAGCGGGATGAGCACGGCGCCATGTCAAGCACAAGGCGCGCCTCGTCGCTCGATGTTTTGTCCAGCGCAAGGGCATCGACTTCGAGGAAGTCTTTGCGCCGGTAGCGCGCATGGAGTCTATCCGACTGTTGCTAGCTTTGGTAGTAGCGAAGGATTAGCGCGTCCATCACCTAGACATAAAATCGGCGTTCCTCAACGGTGAGCTGGTGGAGACAGTCTTCGTCAGGCAACCTCCAGGTTTCGCCGTCAAGGGAGTAGAGCACAGGGTGCTCCGACTGCGCAAGGCGCTCTACGGGCTACAGCAGGCCCGCGAGCGTGGAATGTCAAGCTTGACGCCACGCTGGGTGAGCTTGGGTTCACACGGTGCGCAACCGAGCATGCGCTCTACACGCGGCGATGGGGGAAGGAGGAGCTTGTCGTCGGCATGTATGTGGACGACTTGATCGTCACCGGCGCGCGTGTGGAGGACATCGACAGCTTCAAGCGTGAGATGGCGGCTCGTTTTCGAATGAGCGATCTCGGCGCGCTCTCCTACTACCTTGGCATCAAGGTGAGATAGGAGAAGGAGGCGCTCACGCTCGGTCAGAGCGCGTACTCCTCGAAGCTGTTGGAGGGGAGTGGCATGGCTGAGTGCAAGTCGTGCGTGACTCCGATGGAGGAGCGGCTAAAGCTGATGAAGGCCAGTACCGCGGCGAAGGTAGATGCAACACTCTACCGGAGCATCGTTGGCGGTCTGCGCTACCTAGTCCACACGAGGCCGGACATTGCATTCGTCGTGGGCTACGTCAACCGCTTCATGGAGGATCCCCGAGAGGATCACTAGACCGCGGTGAAGTGGCTGCTGCACTACGTTAATGGGACGGTGGATTAGGTGATCGTCTTCCCCAAGACCGGTGGAAGTGGGCTGCAGCTCACTGTGTTCAGCGATGCAGACATGGCGGGGGACATTGATAGACGACGGAGCACCTCTGGCGTGCTTGTCTTCCTCGGGTCGGCTCCAATCTCATGGCTGTCGCTGAAAGAGAAGGTGGTGGCGTTGTCCACGTGCGAGGTAGAGTACGTGGCGGCGGCCACAGCGGCGTGCCAAGCTATGTGGCTGCGCCGGCTGCTGGGCGAGCTGATTGGTGTGGAAGCTCACTCACCAGCACTGATGGTGGACAACCAGCCCGCTATCGCCCTCGCGAAGAATCTGGTTCTCCACGACCGGAGCAAACACATCGACGTCAAGTTCCACCTCAGGAACTGTGTCGATGGAGGGCAGATCGTCATCGAGTTCGTCGAAACTAGTCGACAACTCGTGGACGTCCTCACCAAGCCGCTCGGCCGTCTTCGTTTCACGGAGCTGAAGAAGATGATCGGCATGGTGGAGGTTCTAGGGTTAGCAGCAGGATTATGGGAAGAATTGTAAAGTAATTTGCTGCTCTCCCTCTGTATACGCGGCAGGGGCAGGCGCCGAAAGGCTCCCCTCCCGCAATGTAGCCACAGTAGGGGCAGGCGCCAAAGTCAGCCCTGCTGTCACATCTAGTCACTGTAGCAGCATGGTTGTGTACTAGGATTAGATGGTTAGAGTTGTATATTTAGCTTCCCACTGCAACTAAGTGAAGAGAGAGAGTTCAGTTTTACCATTTCCTCTGCAGAGCTCCGGTCAACGCTGATGCTTGTGCTGTATGTGTGTGCGCGCTCTGTTCTCCCCCCCTCTTCTACCTCCAGCAGTAGTGTGTGTGTGAGAACGTCGGTGTGTGCTGTATGTGTGTACGCGCTCTGTTCTTCCTCCCTCTTCTACCTCCAGCCGTAGTGTGTGTGTGAGAACATCGGTGAGCGGTCGGCTCAACCGTGCGGGAGATCCCGGGCCCAACAGGAACTACTGAGTGCAATCGGTCATTATCCAAGGGTGCTTCTTCCAGAACCCAGAACCCAGGTCCCAGGTCAACGTGGTCCACTTTCACATCCCACCGCTCTCTTGTTGTGTCATCGTGGCTGCCCTCAGCCCCCGGAAGTTCTTCCCCCTGTAGACATTAGCAATGGGCGTTTTTATCTTTAGGTAATGTTCCCTGCAGACAAAACTAAAGCAGTTAGAGAATGCAGGCAATGAGACAAGTATGGAAGCATGGAAGATCAAGGGAAACAGAGTTTAAATAAAAGTATTAATTTTGAAAGAAGACCTTCACTATCTCATGGGCTTCCTTTTCACTTTTTCCAGATTTCACTAGCACCCAAAAGCATGTATTGTATTGGTTACCAGCATGACCTGAAAATTAATGGATATAAATGAACCAAGCTGTTTTGTTCTTGTGGTTTCTTGAACTGATGGAGTAGCAAAGCTCTTGCAGTAGGATATCTTAAAAAAATTAATGGGCATAGACATAAACAGCATATAGCTATACAAGCACTGAAACCTAGTATATTCAGACTAAATTAAAAGAACAAATAAATTCAGGTGTATATAACTTACACTCTGCTTGCCTCGATGACAAGTATTCACATACGATCTTTAATTTTGGATAACATAGAGCTTCTGCCTCAAAGCGTGGTGTCTGCATTAATTCTGTGTAGGGGAAGAACTCTTTCCATTTCGTCATGTAAAGAGAAGTGAAATAGGAAGAACATGATGAAAGGATTAGGCTGCAAAAGAAGTTGGCATCATTTCAAACCAAAGCAGTTAGCCCTTTGATAACTACCTTTCCTGTCTCTGATATAGTTCAGTCTTCTCGTGGAACACAAAACTGCAACAGTAACAACAAAGAATGGTTATCTGCAATGGATGGCAATAAATAATGATCATCCGCAAGGAATGTTTGTTTAAATATATGTTAATATTTCCAGATATTGTATGCTTTACTTATACTTTTCATTAATCTTCTCATGCCAAGGCTATATTTATTCAGATCACTTCTGTTCATGAGATGAAACTTTACCATTCAAAACGTATATTTTGATTTCTTACAGTAGTTTTTATCAGTTCTTTAACTCCATGAACTCCATGGACAGTTATTTGAAGAAGTATAATATACCTATACTCATTGCTAAAACCATATCCAAAGACAATGTCAGCGTATTGCTCCATCATCAAAGATGCAGATTTATTCATCAGCCTTAGTGCAGTCTCATCATTTGGCTTGTCAAATGAATGAATTGTTGAGAATCTGAGAAGGGGGTGGGGGTGGGGGATGAAGCAACCCAGTTAATAAGGCAATCAAGCTAATGCTAAAGAGAACCAGCATGCTTTTGATATATAAAAAGAAGAGGGATCCTTACTGATCAAATTGGCAAGCATGGATGCGAACAACGATCCAATTACAAGGTGGAAGCATGCGGTTGATGCCAAACTTCTTTACAAACCCATGCGTAAATTTTCCTGTCCCCAAACACAACAATTAAGTTAATGATATATATACCCTCGTAGTCGTAGCTTGATCTGTAGTTGAAAGGATAGATGAACAATTCAAACCGACCTTCTCGAAGAATGTCTTGATGATTTTCCCAAAACTCAAGCCCTATGATATCAATATGTGCCACTGTAACTTTCAATCTTGGTCTTTTTATGGGATCCCCATAGTCACCAATCTTCACTGTTGTTTCTACCTACAGTTATGCACAGTACATTATAAGAAAAACGTTATTTTGCACAGTACATTTGTAGCATCACCTTCTCTCGGTAAACTCTAGATCCTTTGCGGAACATATAGCCGGTTCATCATCATAGTTTATTTGGAATTGTTGAGCAAGCAGGTCATTCTTGTCCTTTGCAAATGTTCCCTAGAAGAATACAACTTGAATTAAAACACTTATACAATTGCGACAAAAAGGTCATCAACTCAAGAAAAGTAATACTACCTTCAAAGCTAGCTGAGCCTCTTGTTCACTTTTTCCAGACTTCACCAACATCCAGAAGCAGGTATTGTACTGATTATTTATATGGCCTAAAGGCACCAGCAAAGAATATGCATTCAGTCAACTAATCAAATTATTGTTCAATTATTATGCATACATAGATCACTCTTTTCTTTTTACGTTAACGAAGCTTCATGGCTTGTACAACTTTGGTGGAATGGTGCTGTTTTCTTGTAGGACTTCAGGGCAAACACGCTGCAGTTGCAGTAGCTTACAGTCCACTTGTCTCCAAGCCAAATAATCACGAATAGTCTTCAAATTTGTGTAACATACAGCCCGAGCATCAAAATATGGTGGCTCCTTCAGCTCTTTATTAGGAAAGAAGTCTTTCCACTTCATTACGCACACAGAAGTGAAGTAGGAAACACATAAAGAGAGAATTTTGCTGAAGTTATTGGTAGAGATGTCAATATCATGATGCCATGAACATTTGCTCATAGTTCAGAAACAAAAGGCACACAGATGAGCATTCCCAATATCAGTGAAAAATTGAAACTGAATGAGTTACCTTTCTCGTCGGTGATAGAACTCTGTTTCCTCTCTGAAAATGAAACCGCAGGGTAAACAAGAATATAAGAAATTTATAATAATAGAGCAGACATCAATGCATTATTTGTTAGAAAGTTCATTTTAATTTTATCTATGCATCTGTTTCCGCCCCCCAACACACACACACACAACCGGAAACCGGATCTTTACCGTGTGTCCAAGGCACATTGCGAAGCCCAAAAAACACTCGGCAAAGACTTTACCGAGTGTTACACTCGGCAAACAGCACACGGCGTACACAGTGATGGCAAAAGTTTATTTGCCGAGTGTTTTTTATCGCGCACTCGGCAAAGACGTTGCCGAGTGCTGAAACCAATGCTCGGCAAAAAAAAAGTATCGTGACAGCGCGGAGACGGTCACGGCGTGTTTGCCGAGTGTCTAACAGCCTCGGCACTCGACAAACATGACATTGTTTGCCGAGTGCCCCAGCCATGACACTCGGCAAATAATCCATGTTTGCCGAGTGTCACATCCCGGTCACTCGGCAAAGACTGGCCATTCCAGACCTAGCTTTTGGTCTCTTCGCCGAGTGTCCAGGCGCTGACTCGGCAAACATGCCTTCTTTGCCGAGTGTCACAGCGCAGACACTCGGCAAAGAAGCCATTTTAGCCCCAGAATGCACAGATTTTTGCCACGTGTAAGTTTTGCCGAGTGTATTTTTCATGGCACTCGGCAAATAGCCCTTTTGCCGAGTGTAACACTCGACAAAGCTGCCACATATAATCAGTTTATTTGGTTCGGTCATAGCCACGTACCACATTTAAATAAACATCACATCCATCACAGATAGTTCACAATAGGCATCATAGGCAGTTCATATAGATATATCGACCACATCACAGATGCAAATGAACTTCACAATCACAAATGCAAATAAACTTCAGAATCACAAGTACATAGTTCCTAGTCGCTCTCCAGGCTCATTAGGAATGCAAAAAAACTATGACCACGGTGACCACTGTGACCACTGTTGGTCATAAGGCTCATTCGATGCCGCAGATTGATTCTGCACAAAAGAGAAGAGATAAATCATTAACAGTGATTGAGAACAAAACATACAAGTATTAGAAATAAACTAGCAACTAGAAAAAGTGATTAATTCTGCGGAAACTAAAAGTAGCTAAGTTACAGTGATTGAGAACGAAACAGTGATTACAAGGTTAACTACAAACTAGAAATAAACTAGAAATTAGAAACTATAAACATACACACATCACAAAGGAGAAAAGATTGATTCAGCATAAACTAGAAACGGTGATTATAAGGTTGTGAAGTGACTCACAGTGCCTGAAACAGTATTTGGAGCAGGTTGAGGAGGAGGGACTGGCATCGGTGGCGGAGGTTGACCGATTGTAGCATAAACACCTCTCATATATTCAAACATCTGCAGCCGCTCTGCCTCCATCCTTTGCCGCTCTGCCTCCATCTTTGCCTCTAGCTCCTCCCGGCGCCTCATTTCTTGTTCCAGCTGAGCCTACAATATTTTATCCCAATATTACAATGCAATGCAAAAGTATGTAAAAATCAATGAACGATGAATAAAACAGAAATAACCTAGAGTGCGTTCATCTGGAACCATGTAGAGTCCAGCCGTGGGCATATCACCGGGCTAGAACTCGTGCTCTGTGCTCGAATCTAGGAGAGAGTGGGAGTACTGGCCATGTCGATTGTGCCGTCGCCAATCCAGAACCGGCCATGCTTCTTGCCTCCTCCTGCCCTCATGACCACTTCTCCATCAAGGGCATGGGCGCTCGGATCATACTCTAGGCCATGGACCGTCCTTGCCATCGATGTGTATCCATTGAGGCAGCTGTGGATGGACTCGTTGCTGTACGCCGAGGGCAGGTCCTCCGGGTGAAAGGTCCTTGTGTGGTTTTAGTAATTGAGTGACAACCTAGGTGAACTAATTGTGTTTATGTGAGATACATATGTAATTAGTCCATAGGTACATGTGTGTGAGCAACATATGCCATGAAGGTGGAAATGGCTCGAAGATGTTGCAAATCTCACACATGTGATGATGTAGGAGCTCATTGCATATGAGACATGACATTGAGTCATGTGACTAAGGTGATGAAGATCAAGGCAAGACTTGGCTTGACCAGTTGCAAGAAGAAGGACAAGTCAGAGGCTTTGGAGCGATGGACCGCGTGGCGGTGAAGCTTGAGCAAGACTTGGCACCGATGGGCGAAGGCAACGGTGAAAAGCAAGTGAAGTCAAGATCGATGAACCAATACGGTCACGTAATGATATGAAGTGGATCATATCATTTGGTTATTAGTTGGTGCATGTGTTGCATCAACAATGGAGGAGTTGGAATGGAATGCACAAGGCAAAGGTATAACCTAGGGCATTTCATTTCACCGGTCATAGGTTGTGTAGAGAAGTGCTTGACCAGGTTTAGGATAGATGGCCGTACTATCAAGAGGGGAAAACTTGTTTGCATATCGGTCATCTAGTGCCACTCGAGTGATCTAACTTTGCATCGTTGCTAGGATCGAGTGGTGTGGCAACTTGAGTGGTTAACTCCTTGAAAAATGTTTGTGAAAAGCTAACACACGTGCACAAGGTGTTTGTACACTTGGTGGTGTTGGCACATTTGCAAAGGAGAAGAAGTTAGTGAAGAAAAGGAGTTGAATGCGCTGGTCACGGGGTGACCGGACGTGTCCGATATGAGTACCGGACGCGTCCGGTATCTGACTCAGGCGGCGTTCCCGACGTGACCGGACGCGTCCGATATCGATACCGACACGTCCGGTATTCTAGCCAAGCATGGGCAGAGTTGCTGCTGAGGTGACCGGACTCTGGCTCAGTGGAGTGACCGGATGTTGATGAGTTACCGTTCAGCGTCAGGTCAAAGTGATATAGCCCGAAGCAGGATTGCAGAGAGCGACCGGACGCGTCCGGTGTGAACCAACAAGTCTCGGGTTTTCAGCGCAATAATTGATCGGACGCTGGGAGCGTCTGGTCAGCCCAGAGCAGCTCTAGGAGCTCTCTAGACTCGACCGGACACGCTGCGTCTCCCGCGTCCTGTTGTTTTCTAACAGTGCGTCCGATGCGTCGCGTTAGAGCGTGTCAGAGAGGGCCATTGGGCGGCAATGGTTACTTCATTTGAATGGGACATGTGGCGGTCAAGCAGCGACCGGACGCATTCGGTTGCCACACTGGACGCGTCCGATGCACATGACCTGCACATCTAGTCATCCCAAAATCTGCCCAGTAAAGGGGTAACTGCTATTTTAGCCCATGGGGCTATAAATAGAAGGGGGTCTCGGCCATGGCTGAGTGAGAGCACCTTGGGGGACTTTATGTCCAAGCTTGAGAGTGCTTAGGAGCCCTCCATCTCACATATGCTTGATAGTGATCATCCGATTATGTGAGAGAGCGATTCTAGTGTGATTGCATCGTGAGGTTGCATCGAGTGGCACTAGGTGATCAAGTTGCAAGCTGGTGGTGCTTGTTACTCTTGGAGGTTGCACCTCCTAGATGGCTTGGTGGTGGTCTCCATCGAAGCCCACAAGAAGCTATGCGGTGCTCCGGAGAAGAGCTTTGTGAGGGACATTGTGCTCGCCCCGCGGGAGCCGCGAAGAGCAACTCTAGTAGAGCGAGACGCGAAGGGCGACAAGTGGTCCGGCTGGGTCAAGTGCTAGAGCTTGTGGTAAGCACTCCACGTGGGAGAGTGTGACTTGCGGGTCACCACTAGCAAGAGGACTGGCGGCAACCTTGGAGCTTGTCTCAACGGGGACGTAGCATATTGGCAAGCACGTGAACCTCGGGAGAAAAATCACCATGTTAACTTTGTTCTTCCCTTTGGTTTGCAATCCCCTTACACAAGCTTGTAATTACTTTCATATACATTGTGCTTGTGTAGTTGCTCTTGTAATTAGTTAGCTTGTGTAGCTCACTAGTTACCTTCTTGCTTGTGTAGCATAAAAGTAGCTCCCTTGCGTGGCTAATTTGGTTTGTGTAACCTTGTTAGTCACATTGCTTAGTTTGTGTAGCTAAGTATTTGCGCTCTCTAATTTAGCATTGGTTGCCTTATTATTGAGCATTGCTAGTGAGCTTAGGAGCTTTGTGCTTTTGCTTACTAGAATTGTGTAGGAGCTCCCCGGTGTGCAAAATACTAGTGGCATAGGTTTGTGTGGCCTTGCTCCTAGAATTGGATAGGTGAGCTTTAGCTAGCCCGGCACCTTTATTGCCTAATTAGGATCTTTATAAGGTGCTTGTGAACTTCATTAGGGGGGTGTAGTCTTGGCTAGACCGATTGTTTTAATTCCGTATTTGTTTCGGTTAGCCGGCGCGATTAAATTTAGAAAGGACTATTCACCTTCCCTCTAGTCCGCCATCTCGACCTTTCAATTGGTATCGGAGCGAGGTCTCTCATTTGTGGTCTTCACTGACCCGAGAGGATGGCGTCTAGTGGGCTAGATGTTTGTGAGACACATTTTTATGGCACAAATTTTGCATTTTGGAAAAATCACATGCTTGATCATTTTTGTGCAAAAGGGACCTAAGTTTTGGTGGATTGTCACTAGTGGTCTCACTCATGTCTTGGACCATAAAAATCTCACCAAATCTCAAAGAGTTCTCTATGAACTTGATGCACATGCTTGTTGTTATCTAATGGATGCTTTGAGCTTTGATTTAATGAAAATGATAAACTATGTGGGAACCGCTCGTGAGATATGGGAATCAATCAAGCACACCTTCGATGATTCCTCCACATGGGATGATGGCAAATTCAAGAAGGAGGATGATCCCAAGGAGGAGGCACATGAGCGTGTTGAGCA